GTCTCACGCAGCGGTCATGACGTCACAGCGGCCGGACACCGGAAGTGGGCCGCGGCACCGCACCGGAACCGGACGTCGCTGCATCGTGCGATATCGTAAGCCGAGGTTAATGTCCGACATTAACGATTTACATGGCAACATAAACGTGTACATTAAGAATCATAACACCGTAACAAAATTGTATATGTAAATTAACGAAAAATCTAATAGAATCGGTTCAGAAAATGAAACGAAATATAATTCATACAATTTATGAATTCAACATCAAACAAAACGTCACTTAAACAAAAAAAAGAAGAGAGTATCACGAACTCCTCATAAATATCTACGTCGGAATTCCCTTTGTCATTCTCGTAATAAAAACCGATGCGCCGACAAGACGAGGGAAATCTCCCACAATGGCACGAAATGAAAGCAAAACTTAGTGTAATTAATTTCGAGTAGGTACCTACTCAACGCTTTTGTAATAAATCGTTTCATCCCGGTATAAATTTTATCCGGGAGACCGCCTGAACCTTAACACGCGTTTCGTCTCCCTCCCGCGTGGCGAATTTGCATAATATCACATCACCTGTCCCTTTCGCGGATTCGCAAATGATTTCCAGTCTCCGCGTTTCCGTTAATCACGTGTCTTAACAGCCCTGCGTCGGCGCGTGACAAATTTAACTTTGACACACGAGTAATACGGCTTAATTTGCAAGTGTGGCTTAAGTTAGGGGTGTTCTACCGTTGGGCAAACTTCCCCGAAACAATTTCAGTTAGATCGCGGTGTAACGGCGGCGAATAGCCGATGAGTTGTCGAGTAGGGCATGAGATAAGGCACAGTAATTCTTAATCTTGGCGGTTAAGAACATTGCGGGTAAGCTGTACCTACTGCTAAGATGGATGTACCCCATTCTCGGGAGGACTGTTAAAAGCCACGAGTGTAGGATTTAAGGTTTGCGTTTTGCTAATATTATAAAGAAGAAAAAAATGGTTAAAATTCACTACTTCCTACTGAAAGATTTAGAACGTAATGTCCCTATAACTTTGATAATAATTAATTGAGTAGCCTAATCTCTATGCAAGTAAATTTAGAAGGTAAGTAATAATTACGAACGGAATAACATATTAACAAAATTTCTTGTTTCTTTCTATAGTATTTTCTATTGACTCTCATAATTATTTATTGCATGAACGGTCTAAACTCATCCGATGCTCAAATTTTCACTCCTTCTTACTATAAAAGGGCAAAATATATCTCAGACGAGATATCTGGAACTTTTGCTGTCGATTATAATGATATGCACAGTGGCTAGTCATAGTTCAAACGATATCGATCCGTAACCCGTAGTCGTGTTTGCCTAGAGTTCTGCATGCACCTGACTTCAATGGATCTCAATGCTGTTGAATTTATCTAAGCCGGCGGCACGCTGAGGTCATTGCTCCGTAATTTGTATACGGTTGCTTTGTCCAACTTCTGTTTTTGTTCAATACTGGATGACTCCGTGGCGCAGTTGCCAAGCTATTGGCTTCGGCGTCGAGGTCGTGGGTTCGATTCCCACACGAGACAACTGTTTGTGTGACCCACAGATAGTTGTTTCGCATCTGGGTGTTTGTCGGCGTGAAATTTATGTATGTAAAACGTCCTTACAACACAGTATAATGTTATCCTAAAGTAAGGGCAATGTTTAAAAAAAAAACAATAAGCTTTAAATGTTGAAACAGCCTCTTATTTTTATCCCTCGACCTGAACCTTCATGTCTCTCCTGTAAACTTTTTTATGAGTGCATGGTCAGTAAAACAGCGAAAATATAATTTCGGAATATTCAAATCCTTTTACTCTACACAGCTATATTGTTGGTGATTCCTTCGGTTTATTGTACATAATGATTCCACTTTTATGATCATAAGCGGTTAATAAAAAATTATATATATTACCATTGATACGGCATACGGCCTTTATGTTGCAAACACAATAAATATAAGTTACTATAATAGATAATAGACAAAATATAGACTAATAAAAAAATTTTAACATTTTATAGTGCTAATCTCTGCACTTAAGATGAAACAATAAAATTTTTAGAGAAACAAAAAAGAATTTTCATCGTTTTGGTAATCAACCGCTTAGCTTAGTGGAATCCGAAGACGCGGGTTCGATTCCCACAGCAGCAAAAAAACTTTTCATCCTTTCTCTCCAAATTTTAATAAATTTAATATTTCTTCTTATATTTAATAACAGATTTTACTACACTGTTAATACCAAAACTATTCCGAAACTGTACTAAGTTTATCAAGCTATTAATTGACAAGTCATACGTAAGTTAAACGAATTACCTCAAAACGGTAAAAATCACCACCGCGTCATCTGTATCGGTAACGAACCCCAATCAATACATGCAAATGCGATAATTTGAATACATCAAATGAGGAGGAGCATCCAATCTGTGCGCCCTGGAACAGTCCACGTGTAGCTCTCGGGGGCTCCGCACATGGCGGTATATAGCTGAAATCATTTGGGGACGATCGCGAAATGGATAAGTAAATGAGAGGTCGCCCTCCAGGGACGCAGCCTCCGAGCATTCGTGCTTTTATCTTCCCTCCCGATTCGATCCCGTGCGAGAAACGAAAGTGTTGTCCCGTATACTTACCGCTTTAAGAGGCGTCAGCTATTTTACGTAGCTTTATTTAACATGAACAAGGAGTTCAGTGCTGTATTATTGTAGAACTACACTTCTAAAATTAGTAGACATTATAGAATATGATAGTAGATTCGTTGATTGTACATCTTGTACATTCTTCCAATGAACTTTAGGTATGGGAAATACCTCTGAAATGAAGCATATGATGATAATGACTGTAATTACGTAAAATAGTTTTACAACAAATTGCAATTAGCACAAAAACAGGAAATAATTTTCAAACAGCCGAGCCGTTGTATGTTAAATTTTTAGCCAGAATAATAATTAACATTAACAAAACGTTTAAAACACAATTTTATTTTTGAAAGCTCAGTTAAGACATAATTACAAATCAATGCAATTTTCCATATCATGCTAGGTTTTAATTTACTATATTATTAATCAATCGAATGTAAATAAAATATTTGGAGGCATTTGAAACGCCTTCTGGCAACCTTCATAATCACTTCATAAAACTAGCGCGGACGATTTAACGCTGTATTCGGGCTATGCTTGTGACTCCTAACCTCAACCAAATAAACGGGCAATCTACAATCCCCTTCGCTCACCACTCCACCAATACGATATTCCAACGTGAATTCGCTTTGAAATACGCCGATGAAAAACCCCTATAGGCCTCCGACCACCGTATCGCAACTCGGCGGCGACATCAAAAGCAGTGCCCCTAAAATATTCCATTTGACACCCGCCTTTGGCCCCGTCTTTGATCTCGCGCCGAGTCAAATTGCAGCCAATCACAGACCGCTCCACGTTTGATTGCTTAAGGGACACTTAATTACGCGATGACCTTTCCTCAGACCCAGCTAAGGCGTATCGGGTCCTTAACACTCCAATGAATAGCTATTTACTCGCACCGCAGGCTCGGGATGAGTTTGGCACTATTACGTATACATTTGCCAAAGCTTAATCAATCAATTCTTAACTCCACCCAAAATTTCTTGTTATGAATTTGTTAATAAAGCAAACTATATAAGGTGCACGTGTATCATATAATGTATAGCTCTGACATGAAGATTTCATGAAGTTACCTCGTATAACCACCTAGTAATCATGATTTCAGCATTTGGGTCCACTGCTGAATATAGGACTCCCCCACAGACGGCCACGAAGCACGATCCTGAGCCACCTGCATCCATCGACTTCCCACACATTTGCATAGATCGTCACTCCATCTAGTGGGGGACCGACGTACACTGCGATGGCCAGTACGAGGCTGCCACTCAATAACCTTTCTAATAAGCAACAAAATTAAAACTCCGATTACTTCATGTACAGACTGTGTTAGTAAAAGTGCTTAAGTTATTTTATTTACAACCTCATTATTTGTAACCTTAGAAAGGTCGCGAACTTGGCCACAAATTCTAACTGTGCATTTGTACTTATTACAAACAGTGGAATTGCTATTTCAGTATACTGTCATCCGCACAGACTTGATTACGAAAGTATTCTCGCTTAATAGCGCCATCAACGCTCCTGTAAACAATGCAAGTACAGTACTTCAGTTTGACGTAATAATTTGTTTTAACGTAACAACTTTGATTGTTACGTTAAAACAAATTATTTTTTTAAGATGTGAGTGTCTAGATTAAGTCGATGGAAAAAATATCAAGAAACCCACCTGATTAAAAAAATTAAATAAATTTGTAAATAAAAACTCTAACAGATGTTACAAATCCGCGTAGTTGTCCCCTTATCTTCGTGAATACCTGGCATGCAGTCTGCATTTTTGCTACATCATTTTATTAGTTTCATGTAAAGGAATAATATGCAAAATTTAAAATGAAAATTTTCGGTATATATTTTCGCGATATGCATGTATTTGCGGCGATCATGGAAACCTATTGACAGCGAATGCTTTTTAAAATTATGCAGTTTAAAAAATTCTAAAAATTCTAAAATTCATTCATGCTTTTGTTCTCTATGAATTATGTGACAGTTTCGGAAATATATGGGCCTAACAATTTAACACACGTTTTAATAAGAATTTCTTAACACTAGCATTTACTAACGGGTTTCATTCCAAACCACTTTACTTTTAATTATCTGTATCAAACTGTTAGTATATACGAAGGATATATGTCGTTGTAAGTAATATGTCACTTAGCATATGCAGACATGTCTATTTAAACGCCAGAACAAGTCCTATTTCCAACAGGGCAACTTGTTGACGCTCGAACACATTAATCAGCAATCTCGAAACTGAATCTTTTCTCCTTCGCGTCTCACTGTTTTTTCCTCTCCCTCACTCATTAACCTCGATTGGTCCGCTAAATAAGTTCCCACGCGCGATCATTAGCATCCAGCCTTGATTAGGCGATGAGTTGTATCGGTGCGTTGACGCGCGTCTGTCCGTCCGTCCGTCTGTACAAACGAGCGCAGACGCTGCGGACTGTCCGCAGTCGCGACAGGATGTGTTAGTTATACAGGGCGATACCATTAAGCCGAGATACTCGCGTGCCCGCACGCTCGGCTATAGGGTGCCCCGAAAACTTTAGTGAAATCGATAGACAAGGATTCGTTTTCAGTTTGATTTTGTTTACCGTTTGGTAGTAACGCAAGTAACATATAGTGGCGAAGATTTATTAATGTAAGATGTTTTCTTCGATATGTTATTATGTCCATTTTTACCATGTTAGATAAGTACAATATTTCCATTAACAATCTATTATTACTTACAGTATCGATGGTACACTTTTGAAAGCGGAACCAGTACACTAGCCCTTACGACATTGCTTTTTAATTTTAATAATATTTCTTTATTTCATTATTTTATAATTGTTTTAATCACAAATTATATTTACTATCAAAAGAAGATCAAATAAAAAATATAATAATTATTAACATACTTTCCCTACTTACTTTAATAGCTGATAATAAAAATTAAAACGGAACAATATTCAAATATATAAATTAAGTTGAAATATAATAAGATCGAATTAAACTACATTTAATCCAATGACGAATACGCTTATTTTCAACCAACTTTAAACGATGGGGGATTTCCATTCGTTACCTTATTTGTTGTTTTGTTTTTTACCTGAGAACTCGGAATAGTCTTTAGAGTCGATTCTGTTGTTAATAATAATTATCAATTATTAATTCTTACTATATAATACCAGGATTAATATTACATAGTAATTTTTTGATTCTGTTCGTTAAACTTTTAGTCACAAATAATTGTGGTAAAATTTATATGAATGTTCACTATTGTATTGGTAACAGCGCGTCCTATAAACAGCAAATGCGTATTTGAAATAAATATCCACGGTTTCGGGATCACCCTGTACGCTTGGCGACGTACACAGACAGCTGATGCGCGAGATCAATCCGCGGACAACCTGTGGGACGGGTTCGTGTGTATTCGCAACAGTAGCTCGCCACCAACCAGGGCTGCCAACCGCGTATTTACAAGGCAATAGCAGTTGAACGCTATGCTTTAACTCCCAGTACCACCAAAATCATCGCCTTCAGCTCTCTTCTACCCAGGGTTGCCAACCGTATATATACAAGACTATAGCACCGCTTGAACGCTATGCTTAAACTCCCAGTAACACATACATCATCGCCTTCAACTCGCTTCTAACTAAGGCTGCCAACCGCATATATACAAGACAATACCCCCGCTTGAACGCTATGTGTTGACTCCCAGTACCACTTACATCATCGCCTCCAGCTCTCTTCTATCCAGGGCTGCCAACCGTATGTATACAAGACCGCACCGCTCGAATACTATTCTTTACGGTACCCACATATTGGTTTCAGCTCGCTTTGACAGCACACCACTTGGACACCACATTGATGCCTTGTAGCTTTGACTCGCTGTGAACTTCAGCCCTACGCTACCAGATCGGTCGCAAACAGGGTTGTCAACAAACACAACAATTAACGAATGAATGTTCTTTATTGCACACACCATGGTAAATAAAATATTACAAATAATTAGATATGAGTTGTACTACGAGTATAGGCGGCCGTAAAACAGCAATGTGTCTCGTATACATTTTTGATTATTACATTGAGGTATCTGTCTATAAATCGGACTCGTTTAAGACGTGCCAAGTAAAAACTATAACGAGAATGTCTTACGCCTGTGGATGGTTGAAATAAAAATCACCTTGAAGCGAATTTGTCTTTTTTTTGGACATTCAAAAATCTTAACGTTGTTTTCCTACATCGGAAAAGGTTAGCGAAAAGATAGAGACACCGAAACCATCCCCGTTTTCGCGATAGAAACGCGAAGGTGACAGCATGCTTATTGCATTGTCGTAGCCTTAGAAATTGTCCGCCGCCGCGTCGACAGCCCTCGGAGCGTACGAGCCAATAAATTCCTAAGCCCGCCGCGATTGTGCGCATTGTCTCCCGAGCGCTCGCCTACGGGCTTGTCTTTTTGTCTGCGCCCCCGTATGACGGACACGAAATCAGGTCGAGGGACGTCGCCACGTCACACGGCGCTGAAATATGGCGCGCGGAAAAAAACAATGATTCCTGATGTCCGATATGAACTTGACGAAAATATTCCGCGAACGACGCGATTCGCGAAGCATTCGGCAGCTGTCCGTTCTTTATAAATGCGACCGCAGATAAATATCAAACGATTGTTATTTCATCCTTATGTTTGATGCTTAATTAAGCATTAAATAACGTTGGCAAATAATTGAGCCATCGTTCTTTAACGAGTGTTTTTTTTTTTTATGAAACTCTTTTAATATAAACGACACATTCCAAATGGTTTATTGTAATGACACCAAAAAAAAATTGTAAAATAAATATTTTAAGGATGAATCTGATATTGAAAAACTCAACTTTATAAAGGCAAATATTTGAAATTGAACGTCTGTAAAGGCCGCCATTCGAAAACAATCGTCGTGTATACAACGAAAGATCCGAAAGGGGTGATCTTCACCGTTAGCGGCCGACGGCAGCGGCCCACCGAACGATCTCATTAACGAAATTATAATTGGAATTCCCGAGATTAAGCTACAGGGCCGCTAAAAGCAACTCTGTGTTCCCGGGGCGCCACGGGGCCCGTGATTAACTGCGCGCGCGCATGTCGCTGTTAATTAGCGGTGGACACCGCTTTCGCACCCCACCCTAAAAGGAGATAGCCAAGTAGCGCTGGTGTTGGCAAGTTCCTTTTGTTGCTCCCTCGTGCCGTATGGGGCCTGTCTCGTTGTCCCGCCCGGATAATCTGCCCGCGCTTTAAGGCGGTAACGATTTCTCAAGTAACTCAATTTTGTAATGTGTCTGGGAAATTTATCAACTCTATTTGCTCACATCTCGAATGTAGTGGCGCATCCATAACGGCATGTTACAGCTAACTAATCCAAGCTTCCGTCGTCTTTGTATAATATAATGCTGTTTCGATTTCTCGTTTTGAAGTGATATTTGAGCCAGCATGAGACGCTTCTTCTGTTCTACGTACAAATGTCAGTCTCCGAATGACTTAGGGCATTTTATATTTTAAATCATATATAAATTCCAGATCTCATAGGCGAATAGCATTCTCTTCCGAACAGACCGCGTTAGGAGCATCGCTCGCTCGCCCCCACGCCCCACTACCGCGGTCAGCTCATGCAAAATCGCCATATCGAACACAAAACGCAGAGCAGCGCGCTCCGCAAAAACCCGCCACGGAGCCGCGAAAAAAATCGGATGCCCGCAAATACACAGTACGCGGGAGTCCGCACTTGTATCACTTCATTCCGCCGCTGCCGGGGCGGTGGCAATGCGAGCAAAAACGAAACGGACCGCGCTACGCGGCCCACGGTAGCGAAATAATAAGATCGCGCAACAAAATAAAGAAGCGCCCTCGAAACAAAAGGAGCGCTGGCGAAATAAGGCTAAAAGGTTTAAGCGGTGACGCGGTGTGGCCCGCTGTTATTGTCTGAGCCGGCGCTGTTAACGATACGTGGATGCGGCATCGTCCGAATCGACTTGCTGATAGATCACCTTTTGACACAAGCTTTTTTTGATGTGAAAAGTTGCCAAACGAGCTGACGGTTCACCTGATGTTAAATGAATTCCGCCGCCCATGAACATCTGCTACACCCCAGGGTTTGCAGATGCGTTGACAACCTTTTTGGAAATTGGGCTCCGGCTACCTCACTCACCAGACGAAACGCGAAAGTATTTCTCATACTTCCACTTTACGCCGGTCTTCTGTGAGGTCTTAGTACTTACCCGGACGAGCCTGCCCATTCGTGCAACAGCCGAGGCTGCTGCGTGGCTCTACCACCGTTAAAGCTCTGCTGGAATCATCTCATCCGCTTTAACGTACGGTGGAACTGTGTCCGTCGAGTGTAAATACATGTAAATTTTATTCAAACTATTCTTTACCAATTTTTGACATTACGTAAATATAATACAGGTACCTATTTTCGAAATTTTTATGCTTTTTGTTTAAAAAAAATAGTATATGCGATAATTTTATCGTATAACTTATTTAGCCATCTCGACACGAATACTGAAGAGTGCTACTTAATATAATTAATTATTTTGACTTCATATGCCTTGCATTTATGTTTAATACAACAATGAACCTGCGAGCAGGAACTTCACCAAATGTTCAATCACTACCCCATGGACATCTACAATACCTCAACAGTTACAGATTCGTTGACATGCTTTAGAAAAGTGGGCTCTGATTACCTCACTTGCCAAACGATACGAAAGTATAATACTTTCACTTCAAGTTGGTCTTCAGTAAAGCCAAGGTAATTCCCCGGACAAGTTTACCCCCCTCTTGCAAACAGCAGAATCTGCTACTCTACTACGGAAAAACACATTTATGTGTTTTACCTTGATTTTAAACTGCAATGCTATCAAAAAATATCATATCAACCCACGTAACTATACATCAATGAATAAAACAAGGAAACTTAACTACCATATTTAATTGCCAGAATCAAGATGTCAAAACTCTTTCCTTTGTTTTATTTTTTAATGTATCAAGCATTTACGTAGCATTTCACTTAGTTCTAACCACTATTCTGATCTCATATGAAGTCTTTGAGTTCATGTATATGGAAAAAAGCTATGTACCTTATAAAGTAATCTTTGATATTTTAAAATATCAAAATTAAGCGATACTTTCGTAGCTTCGTGTGTCCGAAGATACTGTTGAAAAAAACACTCGCGAACGGAAAGGTCCGAGTACATCATTGTTGCTTCCGATGCAACCGCCTCCGCGGCCTGCACTTAGCGTTACGGCCTTTGTTACCGGATGTTAGGGTCCAAATTGCTTTGGCGCCTCTATTAATTAAGCTGAACGGGATATATGAGGCTGCCGTGACAGTATGTGGCCATTGATAAATCAGGAGCCCACAGTACGCTCGCTTCGCCTAGATGGAACAGACAGACGTAATTATCTCTATAGTCCAGTGGCAGACGATAACCGTACTCGTTTTATATATAATTGTCATCTCAGGTGATTTTTTTTTGTCCATATATTATACTAATAATCAAAAGATTCATAGTTTTACTATTGAAAGTTCTAAATGAAGAAGTTTTCGGGATAAGATAAAAAGTTAAAATAAGCATCAGGATCAGCCTCAATTTATGTAAGAAAATCTTGTGTTAGACACAACCCTAACTCATATATGTGTGAAAAAGAAAGTAGTTTATGTATATCATTTGCAGCATCCCGTGGGTTTCTAGATGCGTCGCCAATCCTTAAGAGAATAGGCCACAGTTAGTGCACTCACCAGACGCAACGTAAAGAATAATTACTTTGACTTGACGCTGGTATTCTCTGAGGCCGTAGTACTCTACCGGACCTGCCCAATTGTGCTACAGCCGAAGTATCTACGTGACTCTACAATACTAAAAAAATATTTGAATAGAATAAGAGTCTCGTCACACTAATTTTGATTTAGGTTGTACTTAAGATTAAATTGTCCAGCTAGCTTACCATAGCTTATTCTAGGTACATACCAGTAAGTATAAATCAATGAAAAATAAGCGGTCTATGGTCACCCCGAATAAGCTAACAAATTCCTATTTTATAATTTAACTGGTTTTCTCAGGACGGCTTTACAGTTAGACACATTTAGGTAACGATAAATATGACCTCAACTAAATAAATTTCCCCCGAATATAACATAAACAATCAATATGTCGTTAGAACATGTACCCGTCAGTTTCATAGCAATTATCGTATATTTATTAAGTTATATATATCGTATAATTATTAAGACATCTTAATTTAGAGCTTTCCTCCGGTCTAAATCTGAATTTAATAGAAAAAGACAAGAAAGAACAGAGAAAGATGACTTTTACTAAAATCAAATGTACCCTAGTACGTCACTCAGTGATTCAATGATTAAGTCTTAGGTCATAATTAGTAATTATTTTTAGAATGAGCTTCAAACTGCTGAAGCTCTTTAACAAGGAATAAACCCTTACGTCTTTTTCATACTCGTTTAGGTATATAACAACTTTTGCATAAGTCTTTCTTAAAAGACTGTCAATTTCATTTAAACCCAGTTCTCTTTCTCGAACGCAGACTAAAATCTCAATGGCAGTCGCGCTAAAGAAATCGACGGACAAAGAAAAAAGGTACGAGAAAACAATTTCCGAGTAAGTCGGCGAAAATTCCTCAGGTGGGATGCCGCATTGCTCTCACTGGTAGCGGACTTCCCTTATCTGGCGGTCTCAGTTTCGATGCCGACCGAACCATGTAATTTTTAAACTCTTAGCAACGTGCAATTTAGCGCACGGGCCCCTTTGTATGCAAAATCATCCGATCGCAAGGCGCAGTGGTGACTGATTCGAAAACGGCGTCCGCAGTTCAAATACCGTCTGGTATTTTCATTAATGAAATTATTTATAAAAGATAATTAAAATTCTATTACTCGTAGTGATTTTACTATTATTAATTATATGAAACGTCGACAAGTGGTTGTAGGTTCAAATGTAGAAGGAAGGTCCCATCCCTCCCTATCTTATAATCCTTAGAGATAGTATTATCAACTGTCTTCATCATTCTAGCTCTTAAGCCACCACCCTGCGTTAAAGTATGTTGTAACAAAAATTATCGCTTAATAGATTGCCATTTACATTTTTACCTGATGACAAACGTTATAATCCAATAAAATTGGAAAATATATCAGTGTATGTTTTAGTTCACGGAAGACCGGCGTTATGTGGAAGTATTATACTTTCGCCCTTCTTCTGGTGAATGTTTAACCGGGGCCCAGTATTTTAATATTTGCCCACGCATCTTCAACTCATCGGGTGTTGCAGATGTCCATGGGCGGCGGTTATCACTTAACATCACGTGAACCAAGTGGTTCCCCTGACCGCTTACAAACTTTTCACGTATGTATGCATTAAATTGAAGGAAAAGTTTATGTTAAAAAGCGGGCCAAGTGTGAATCGGACTCGCGCACGAAGGATTCCGTACCATTATCTATAAAAAGGGCAAAAAATCATGTCTGTTGTATGGGAGCCCTACTTAAATATGTTTTATTCTGCTTCTAGCGTTTGTTGTTATAGCGGCAACAGAAATACGTCATCTGTGTCAATTATATCTGTCGAACCATCACGGTTCATTAGTTGCAGACGGACAGACGGACAGAATAGTAATAGGGTCCCGTTTTAACCGTTGGGTACGGAACCCTAAAAAGAAAAAGCAATTAGTAAGCCGTAATTTTATATACACAAAGGGTCTTTACCGAGCAGCGAATGCGTGTACTGTCAGTTTACCGCCTGGCGATAACATCCACGTCACAACCGGATGGCGATGTGCGCTGGCCAGTGTTCACTGGGATCGCGCCGAGAAACTCGGGCTCCAATAAATCCCGGACAGTCGATGACGTCACGGGATCGTGGCAGCCGGGAGCTGGTGTGGTTCACGTAGTTCGCGGGCCTCCTGCACATTGCAATCGTCGCGCCAACCTGTGCACTCGCAAGCCGTAAATCAACCCATGGGGTACTGGCGAGTGCAAACTGGAAAGAAACTCTGCTGCTCATCGTCCCAAACTTTTGCCTGAAATCGACAATACAAGCTAATAGAATCCAATCCAAATTCTCACCTTTAACCCTAAATACGGAAGAAAGTGTTCACACAGGTTATGAATAATATCAAATGTATAGATAATAGTGATATTGGATAAAAAATTGACGGTAAATTACAGGAACTAATCGTCGTGAGTAGTTTGTATTTACTTTTTGACCAACTTCTAACTAATGTATTTAATATTTTAGAAATCCCAGGTAGCGCTAAAGAATAAGTCTTTGTTACTATATAAGGCTCCTCCAGTTAACTTTGTCGTTGAAGAGATAGCTTACAAGTTACGTTGATCAAATAAAATTTCTGATAGAGTTAAAAAAAGCGTCAATAGTCGCACAAATTTTATTAACTAATCAATAAAATAATAACAAACACGTCAATAGTCAATAAAATAATCCCTAATGAATAAAATAATAACAAACGGCAACCTTTATACGCGCGACTGTACTTCGTGATTTACACTGCTCCGTACTGCGGCGCTCATATCTCTGAGAATTCACTAACTCCGGAACTAGAAGCTACGTATATCTGCTGCAACTCGTGCGACGCTCGGGGCTTAGCTAATTTAGGTACGTTTCAAATTTAGTGCTCATCCCGACATACAAACCTGTAATATATAAACCCGATGTCATCCAATACCATACTGGATATAAATTTCCCTTAGCTATAGTTGTTTTTCAATTATTTTATACGGGATATTTAAAAAGTCATTCGTTCAAAACAACTTTAATCATTCGTCGTATCACTGTGTTAATATAACTTTTTAAACATAAAAAGAAATTACAATACTGAGTACTTCGGGTGCGATAATATTGCTTAAAAATTAACCCATGACCTTATCCCACCTAGCTGGGGTCTGGGTCACAACATTTGAATCATTTTGTAGTCAGGTTCTACGAGCATCTTCCGATTTTGACCCATTCAGGTTTTATAAAATAATAATATATAAAAGCATAAAAGTTAGTTTATTTATTGGAACGTCGAAAGTATAATTTTAATTCTTAGGTTTGAATTTCAACGGAGAGTACAAATCGCACAGAGTTACACCGCAGCACAAATTGTTGTCATCTGTTTTTGGCTTTACAACCTGTAATTTTAGGGATAAATAAGGTTGCTTAGTAAAACTAATTATTTTTCTACCCCATTATATCGAGTGCTTCGCTTAGTGACTAGAGCGCAGGTTCGAATCAAATTCGAATCCAGTTCGAATCCGAAAACAATTTCGACAATTTACCCCATTAGGGTATAACATAAGAATTTGTTTTTATATGTAGTTTCTTGGCTACAAAACACTGTACCCTGGTTAGTCGTTTCTTCAACAAAATAACTCTGCACCCACAAGACAGTCGATCATACGAGCACGGAGCGATAACGCTCGGGACACACGCGCGCAACCCAATTAAGATCTTCATTAGGACTTCCGCGAAGGGCCCAGGCAGGCCCCAGTTATAAACCGCAGATTAGAGATTTACGTGTGTTTCTTTCTACCAATAGTCTGGTGACCACGACGCGTTCAGTCCTCGGGAGAGACACAAGTTCGCCTTCTTGAGCTTTCTTCTTATTTGTTTATTCCATAGTAATATTTATTACAAGAAGACCCCACCTAGGTGGGATAAGGGCAGGAAGATGATCCCAAGTCCGATACCGTGGCTACTACCAATACCTATTCTTGTAACCCATATGATTATAAGGATTTTTATTAATCACAAATCATCATCATCATTTCAACCTGCTAAAGTCTCCCCCACAGACTGCCACGAAGTACGATCCTGGACCACCTGCAACCATCGACATCGCGCACATTTGCACAGATCTTCACTCCTTCTAGTGGGGTTCGTACTACACTTCGATGGCCAACACGATCCTATTCCACTTTAGCTTACTAACCTTCTGAGCTATGTCTGTAACTTTTGTTATACTCCGGATGTCTTCATTAGCAACTCTATCACGCAGAGAAGAACCGAGAATAGCCCTTTTTCCACAGCTCGCTGAGCGACTTTACTACCTCTTATACGGCCAGCAGTGAAGGAACAAGTCTCAGTTCCCTAGATCATTATGAGTATGTATTAAAAATTGGAACTCGTTTGTCTAATTACTCTTATACTTTTGTGGACATCCACTTAAGCTGTGGCAGGTGCACGCAACAGTCTACGCTGTTGCACGAATGGGCAGGTCCGTCCGGAGAAGTACCACGACCTCACAGAAGACCGGCGTGAAGTGGAAGAGAGTGAAAAGAGAGTGTTGACCGTAGCGGTAACCGTTATTGAAATCATAATCGTAAATCCTACGAGACAACTTTAAAACAAACACAAACTCATCATATTATTCTATACAGATCCATGCATTCCAAAGACTACTAAAGGGCGGTAAAAGCCCATAAAACTTTCGACGGCGCCACACAGTGGAAGCGTAAAACATCTAACAAACTGCGTCAGCAAGTCCACCGCGGAATTAAGTCACTTTCGTGTCAGCACATACAGCAGCCAGAAGCACGAATGGGCGCCATCGCTTTTGCCGCACGAGAGTAAATAACGAACGATACCAGTAAAAGAGACTGGAACACGCAAAACGGGCATTACGAAACAATACCGACGTTAGCGGTGATTCTATTCACGAAGCGACCGAAGTAAAATCAATCGGTGAGCACGCGAGCTTCGACACCGGCGTAATGTGAATTATCGCTCGTAAAAGTGTCATTTCAGACATGCCGTGACGTCACGGCCCGCGAGACGCCCTGCCAACGTCGAGCCGAACTCGCCCCTACTGCCCTGGCGCAGGCCGCAAAATCGCGTGACAATTATTTAAGGGGAAAAATCGTTTCCACTCGAGCTGCCGTATTGTCATCATCGGCCGAACTTAGTTTGCATGTCGCGCTGTCACCAGGCGGCGGGCCACTGTTTTCAGTGACATGTACGCGTAGTATTGTCTCAATGGACGCGTCTCCGATATGTTTGAAATAGGACGAGGGCAGTCGGGCCGGTAAACCTCAAACGTGCGCGTGTGTGCCCTGTGACGGGGGCACGCACACAGGCGCACACAGGCGCACTGAGACGCCGATTTACATACGGGGCGCAGTTGGAGCGAGAGGGCGAACGCGCCGCACCGGCGGCGGAGGCGCGGGTGAAAGAGACCACTGTACCGCCGTCCCGTGGTAAAAAACGGGAAAAGTGGGCGGGGGATTACATTATAGTAGCGAAAGTAATCGATATTCGGTTTTAGTACGCGGCTGTCAGGACTGCACTGATGCAGCCTAAATACGCAAGGTGGATGCGACGGGGTCACCAACAGTTGGACACCGTTTACAGTGCTTGGGATTTAAGCATTTTCCTGCACTCGACTAGGGCCAACCTACTACTATCCAACCAGTTAGCAACTATCAAATCGAAGGGTTAAACGTAACTCTAAAAAAGATTGCAATCGGATTAAATAACGGAATACGACAAATTTCTTGGTTCCCTATGAAAACATTATAACAACGGTCAAAAACCATTATATTCGCATATAAATTTGTATATTCCACGGACTGAAAGCACAAACATCTGTCATAAAAAAGCAGAAAAACACTGTGTGTTGTAAATGTAAGGGGCTTTTGTGTTTCGAATTCTGTAGAAAGCGAGACTTGAAGGAATCCTTTTGCCAGAACAAAACCGAGACGCTTTCATTTGTAATAATTAGCATTTGAAAAGCTGATTGTTGTTTTAAGCGTTTAAGACAAAGTCTGCGAGATGGAATGAAGAAGACACTGCAGCATTATTATAAAAGACGTAAATTGGATATTATCTCAAATTGTAGATCTTGAAATTTTTTATATAGAATAAAAGCAAATGGAGAAAATTAGATCTTGCGGGCCTTTATATTATTCCTGCTTTAGAATATAGTGGTTTATACTTAAAATTTGCAACGATCTCAGTAGAAGTGAAGCATAAAGTATTTATACGAGTATTTAAAACCTTTCTGTGTCGCCCAAGTGAAATTACTGGTGGGCAAGCATTTTAAAAGTTGTGGACGTGCTTGCAGTAACCTATGTGCCTGCTATTAGAAGCAGTTATTTATGATCTGACTTTACATATGATAACAATTTGCAATGCACTTTCTGCCCGAACGGATTCTATTGACATTTTTAATGATTCTTTCCACCATTAAAAAAGAAAGTACTGAAGTCATTTCTCATGAGTTGTTTTTGTTTTTATAATTCAGTTAAAATTATAGATTTTTATTTCCGTTTTAATTAATTTTTAAATGTGATATCTAGTGCAATTTTTTAATTGCACAATATTGCAAATATCGTACGTACTACTGTCATAGGTATATTAGTGCAAGCATGATGTCATTTTCTTGTTTTAAATTAAAATATTAAAAAAAATTGCTTACTCATTTCACAAGTTCTCATGAAACAGTCAAGCAGTCAAGTCATTTTTAATGGTGAAACTACCGTCAAAAAATTATTTGGCTAGTACAACGCTAGCATTTTTTTAAAGTTACTCGAGACTTTTTATGGTTCATGTTATTACTAAATATGTTTTAAATTGTACTTTTTCCAAATGTAAGTTATTCTGTATTATTTGCCATTACTGGATAGATCAAAGGACTTATTTGTACTAACACCGTTATAATTATTATTATATAAAAAATAGTACAGACCGGCTATGAGTCCGGTGTATAAATAACAAGTCACAAAGGGTCCAACTGTGCACAAATCAAGAAAGCGTTCAAGCCTAAGCTCGGAGCGGGGACCTCAATTCATTATTAATACGCGATCGCGAAGGGTCAATGGGGTATCAAAGATGCAGCGTTTAGGGTAAATGAGGCGTGGGACATTTTGCGCATAATTTCACCGGCTGACCATCGTTGCCGGGCGCCCTAGAGGTCCGTGAGTAATAAAACGTTTTCCTCTCACATTCCTTAGCCGACATTGTAACCTGTAACCATATCGATATGACTACAATAGAACTTCTACGTTGCAGTGGTCACGGGGACTTACTAACAAATACCTTCCACACAAATCATAATCACAACCATTTCAAAAATCTTCTATCGCACAAAAAATAAAACACATGACTCGATCCGTCTCGTTTTGCTCATGTAACTAAAACTATTTGACGGTAATATGATTATTCTTTTATCGTCTAAGTGGCTTTGGTTCAGAACAGTAGACGTCTACGTTACGATAACTAAATACGTAGACCACGAGGGCAGAATTTCATTACACGGTTTGTTACGAATATAAGTACATATATCATAATAATACTATATAGTTTAATGTTGAAGACATGATCCATGAACACGTGAAACTTGCACCATCAAATCAGCATTGCAAAGTGCGTAGAATATATAAGCAGTCAGACTTATGTTCAACTTTTTGTTCTGATTTGCTGGGGAGAACATAAACGACAACAGTTGACAGCGACTGAGCTACGGAGAAACTGTATATTCATATATGATAAGTTTTGACACTGACCACAGCAAGCTTGTGCAATATATAGTGTTTAAACTCAATGTCATCACACAATATTTTTCCAGTAGTGGGAATAGAACCCACACCCTCTGGCGAAGAAGGCAGGTACACTACCCACTACGCCATTCGGGTCGAATTTCGAAGTTGGGCCAAATTAAGCAGACCTTTGTTCATAGCTTTCAAGACAATAATTTAACGGTGTATATTATTTTTCATATCAACAAGTTCAAGACATTCATCAGTGGCGTCCATCAGAAGATCATAGAAACCTTCATTCCACACCATTAGATCTAGCGATTGCTACAAAGTTACGGCGTTTTGCGCACGTTACATTGGTAACATGAAAACAAATCCGAAACAGCGTTAACGTGACGTAACGGAGCGTCGCGACGCAGGGAAGGGGATATTTATATAGTGATAAAATCCATTTACGACCAGTGGAGCTACAATGCGGGGCGAACAAACTTTATTTCCATAGCTTTCATATCTAGCAGTGGTGCTCGAGACGCCCTAGAGATGTAACTCGGTACCGACGTTGCAAAACTATATATACATCGATAAATATTTTACTCTACTTTTTGTAATAAAAACAAAACTTTGTCTCGTAATTGCTTCCGTTTAGTTATAACATAAGTTGTTAACGGAAAAAAACTTTTTTTTTAACTTCAAAACCTTCATAATGCCTTAACGCTGTAGCTGACAATTATGTATACTCAAAATAAAACAATTTTTCTCCTGTTTAAAGATCTATCGTTAAAAAAATATTTAATATGTGGTGTTGATAAGTAAGCAGGCTTATTAAAAATGAGACAAATTGAAACATGACTTTATATTACGAAATGTAGTTAATAACCAGAATTTGATAAATCGAACACATTTTCATTAGTGCGTGTAATTTGGAGCGTTGTCAGTTATTTTGAAATATTACGGGCGATATCAGTTCTAATTACGTAAAAAATTATGTAATTGCTTACAAGGGCGAGACAAGACATTTTTATTTAACGCGTGCTTTAATTAATTGATAGCAATATAAGTAAAATTAAATTTAACTGAAACAATATTTCAAGTATATCTTAACGTCATGGTTTTATTTTCAAACACAATATTACTTATTGAAATGTATTCATTCCTTGAACCAGACCAAACCTCTTTTTGGATTGAACTTATTTTGCAAAACATTCAGAGATACTTGAGATGAGGCTCCTTTATACAGTTAACTAGCGACACGCCCCGACATCGCACGGGTACAATGTATTATACATATATACCTTTTCCTATTAAATCCAAATAATAATATCGTAAAAAAAACCGCATCATACATAGGCTCAGACAGACTGCGGGACGACTTTGTTTATACTATGTAGTGATAAGAGAAAAATAAACAATACGTGTGCAATAAATCTTCGAGTATTCATTATCTTCCGGCAACATCCCCTACATACTTTACGCTGGTCCTTCAAACTAACTACAGCTGAGGTGACACATTCTGTGTTTTATTAACTGTTTCTCATTTGCAACCACCACAATTTTTATCAAAGACTGGGAAAGAAGTCCTTCCGTCGAACCAGTATAAAGTTGTTTGAAAAAACCAGCCAAGTGCGAGTTCGACTCGCGCAAAAAGGATTCGTCAAAATTATCATGTATAGGCCTAACTTAAATATTTTTTATTGTGTTTTTTTTGTATTTTTCTTGTAGCGGCAACATAAATACATCATCTGTGAAAATTTCAACTGGAACTACCAAACTATCACGGCTCATGAGATACGGCGTGGTGACAGACGGACGGACAGCGAAGTCTTAGTAATAGGGTCCCGTTTCACCCACTGGGTGCGGAACCTTAAAAAAGAGTAAATACATATAAACATCTGAGGTAACCCAGTTGCTTTCTTTTTCATCGATATCTCGAAGGTTCGCCGCCCATCCCTCGCGTCCAAGCCGAAGCTACCCTCGGTTTTTCCTTCAATTTTCCTTTTTCTACGATCTCCACTCACTTAATTGACGAAGAATTTTGATTGGAGCGGGTACCCGGTATATTCCTATGCATCCGCCACGTCGTCGCATATTTCCCTTTTTCCCCGTCTCAGCTCCGGCCTCGTTTATTATTCCGCTCTTATTTTAATGGCTAGGTTCGTTATTGTGCGGGCGCTTCCAGATGATATTTTCGACTTTAATTGCTCGCGGAAACGTAAGCGCCGCTACCGCTGGAGGATTGTTGACTGAAGAGCGAGCGGTTTGTGTATTTTGGATATGTATTTTCAGCTGTGGAAATGTTTCGCGGTTATTTTTACAAGTTCGCCCCCGAATGCGGGACGTCGTATGTACGCAACGTAATTCCGTATATTTAATGCCGGACTTCGGTACGATGCGGGCGAATTGCGAGTTTATCGCGGTGGACAGAGGAAACATTTTTGTTTACACTGCGACATGCTATGATTCGGTTGGTAGTTCAATGCGGATAAATATCGTTTCGGAGCTTAATGCATTTGATATTTATTTATTTTTAAGGAAGCTACCTTACATCAGGATTAATTCATAAGAACCCAGAGAGGGCAAATAATACAAAAAGTAAATGTATTTTTGCTGCGTTTTGTCATTGCCAATTACTTATAGGAAAACAAATAAATTAGACGGAGTATGACTGAACTTTACTACGATATTTTCGGTTTGAAAACATTATAGCTAACTTATGCCTAATTTAACTTTCTTTCATTAAAGCTTCCCATGTTGGTCAATTTCCAGGATGGCGACTCGTTGTTGACAGTGGCTAATCCAAAACAAGCATAACGCTAATCACACGTAATGATGTAGAAATATCTTTTATCCCCTAAAAACACCAATTACTCGCCAATTAAACTAGCATCAACAGAGACCTAAAACATAGCCATATCAGCAGACGCTCCAGAAAAAACGACAATCGCGCGAAGGGTAACATTTCAATCGATCAGCAATTACTCGTCAAAGGCGGTACATTTGAATGGGGGCTGATTAAATGGTACGGCGGCGGACAGTCCTGACAAAACGGCGCGCCCGTTGGCTCGGGATGGCCCAACAAATTTCCAGAATGGGGGGCCATTGAAACGTCAAGGCGCGGGCATTGTGCGGCCGTTTCCAGGCTCGCCGCGGCCGATGTTATTCTTCCTCGGCCGCATCTACTCCCCAACAAAAGGAGCAGCCCGTCTCAATCGTCCGCAGCGTTCGGGAACTTTATCGGCGCCACGGCAACGAGATCAATTCCATATTTGCAGTGAACCTTTCTGCTGAGTTCTAAACGTTCATGTTTATTAGGCCGGTCGGCTCCAAGATATGAAAAACCATATAAGAATGGTAAAGATCATGGTAAATGTTACCCAACGAAGTAACAGGACTCAATATGTATTGGCTAATGCACCATTTGCCTACAACGTCATCACTCGCAGCTCATGTTGAAACTAGCCTTAACTATCCCACCTCTGATCCTATCTCGATTGTAACAACTTATTGCTCCCTCATTACTCTAAATTTAATATAATCAATATAACGTTTATACAAACAAACTATTCATAGTTCTCTTGTTAAAATTACCTGATAATACATAACTACCGTTAGTTATGTAATTCTATCATTATGCAATCTAATGTTATTATTCATACGATCTCAACGCAGAATCCACTTTTCGCCGGATCTTTTATATGAAAATAATTATTATAATTTAACAAGATTGCAAGTTATTGTCCCAGTTTTGTTTCAATTAAAGTCCTTGACTAGTTAAGCATACCAAATAGCGGTATTTAAAAAAAATTCATCAGTTGAAGAAATGATCGTGCACACCTGAAAATAGCGACCCATAATATTAGTCACAATTATTCAAGGACCGATGAATCAATCATTCGACGAAAGTATTCATCAATAAAATAATCTGGTTTATTGCTCCTTATTGTCCAACACGAGACAAAAAATCATCTCAGATAATAAAGCTGCCCCATTCTTATCGCAAACTTCAATTTGGCAAAACTAATATTATTCCAGCCCCCCCCCCCCCCCCCCCCCCCCTCGCCCTCCAACTAGCGTACCCCCTGTTCATTAACCTCCCTCCCCCCGCAATGCCGTCGCCACCCCCTTTCAGATACCTATGCTATGACTAGTTTATTAAATACGAAGCTTGCTCGAGTTATACCAATTTACATAACATACGGACGAGTTTAGGCAGACGCAGTGCCAATCGACAAACGAACCAACTTTGTTTTAGTTCACGTCAGAAAGTAACTTGTTGGCTACTAACAAACGAGACCTTCCATCCGAATGTCTTCATGTATCTATTATTTCACGGTGAGCTATCATCAACTTAGCCTGTTATGAGTTAGACACCGCAGCTATAACAACATTGTTATTGATAACCCTTATGTTTTCTTACATGTTTCTCACAAAAGGGAAAACAGATTATTGTGACATTGCAATGTTTTAGCGCCATAGCTATTTGGAACATTTATAAGTCTAAAATGTATCTTCATTTTTTAACATTATCAATACCGGTTAGCACCTATAAGAAACATATTCATGTAGTGTCGATTGTAAACTGTCTACTTAAGCAATATATTACATTACACAATTTATTGTGTTTATTAGTAATTGCAGTTCCAATAAAGTGATTGTCAATCGCAATTACGCGATTGGAAGCAATTGTCGAAAACTTTATTGATGCTTATTGACAGACTTGCTTATGGACGAGTAATTTGTCAAAAGATTCTACAAGTCGTCTGGCAACAAACGTGGCATACACGTTGAAAAAATATTGATGCGTCGATTCAAATTGCGTCAAAGTCACTTCAATTGAAATTGTCCATAACGATCGACCAACCACACGATAACATATCCATTGATCGTCTCGAGGCGGCTTTGCAAAAATGTCTTCAAAATTTCCGTTCAATATGTCATAGAATAGATTGTTTTGTGTCATCTGCATGTTTTTACAACAAAGGAAAAGGACTCACACCCGGTGGAACCCTAAACGAGAACAATACGGAATCGTCGTCCAGTTGAATTTAATAACGCTCCAAGGGTTCAATTAAAAAATGCGATTGAAACGAGAGGCGACTCCACAGAGGTCGAGGACCGAAAGGAAAATATGCAGAGCAGCCCGCGAGCCCTTGACACCGCCCGCACTTCAAGACTTCAAGACTTCATTACAGCGCAGTGGAGCCCGTTGAAAGCGCCGACGGACGCACACAGAGCGCCGGCGTGTTTACAAACAACTAATTAGACTGTGTGCGTGCCCACCGCCACCCCGTGCGGGTGTGAGGCTAAGGTAAGGGGCCTCGTGGCTCATGTAAAATGCATAAGATACGCTTTCATACTGAGCCGACGCGCAACCGTTTGTCTCAGCCACAACAGATGCTCGTAGAAAGCGACTTTTTGCGTGACCGTGAAAGTGGCGAAATGTCCGATAGACCCAGTGGTGGCAAGGCAAGTTAAGACTTGTAACTCTTTGTCCTCCCCCAACTGATAATTCGTTGAATTTCCTGCATGATATTCGGCTCGCATGCACCCTTTCAAACTATAGCTTGATTTAAAAAGTATTAACTAATAAGATAGCAGCGCAATAAATCAGTCGCGGGATAAGTATAGAAAGATACTAAGATATTTCCATACCATAGTGGTAGGGTTTCGACCATATGCGACATTCGTTTTTTTTAATTATTGAGAAAGTTTCGAAAAAATTGTTGAATAAATCAATTAAAAATATACATCAATCATCTTGAACATTCCGAAGTAGCGAAGAATAAAAAATAAAATAAAATATACAACTGTTTTTCTAAAGAAAATATAGTAGAATAAATATTTGACTCAGTGTATTTAAAAAAAAACAAAAGTACTTTGTCCAATCATCCCAAAAACATTACAAACATTACGGCCAATATTGAAAGATCTCGTAAGCTGTAAACATTTTCAAAAGCTAATTCGGACTATCAATGAAAATTGGCACGTAGTTTAAAAGTTACCCTCAACATTAATGGGGGTCTGAAGTTCTATTGTCATGACATGACGAGAAGACCAAATTTGGGCTGGCGATAACAATTAACTGCTACCCTTATACAACTGTTTTCATATTGAACTTTGGAAGTTAGCACCTTATCATCCTCCATTCCCATATTTTGCTCTTCAAATGAGAATCTGCTTAGGCTAGTTCAATTTAACTAGCACCCCTAAAGATTGAAACAATTCCAATTTCCAAAGAAAATTATTATCAACACCGCTACTTTAATACTTTTGAAAATGCAAATATCTGTGAGAACAATGCCATTAATTTCCCTTTTCTTATCAGAAGTGCCAATTAATTACATAATAGTTGAGTAAATTGCAAACACAATCGTATGGTCGTTACGGAAAATTCCGACTTATCAGAGCAAAACTTGTCATTGAGTTTGAAACACGAGTTATTCCGTAGGTAACTGTCTAATTTGAAATTATCCACATGTAAAAAAATTATACACCAGTTTGCAGTGCAGCGAAATACGGGCGGAAGCAGCTGATAGGTTAGTTACAGGTTTTCCCAGTTTAGATACTGGCACTTGCAATAAGAGTTATAAATTCAACTTAATCTAGTTCCATTTAGATAGTTGGAATTCTTACCACATTTTTTTTTACATAATTAGCTCGAGTTTTATCTATTAAACAGTACGCCTAGAGTTAAATACAAAAACCTAATTGCCTCTTATCTATTTTATGAGTTAACTACTTCTGTACTTTTAGCGGTGCTAAAAGTATTAATTAAAAGTAACCACTAACTCATCACTTACCTGCAGCAATCTGACCACTGACAAAGGGGTTCGACAAGGCAATCGCTGCCAGGCTCTCCTACTTATCCTCACAAGGTAAACTCTCAGTTTCGTGTAGCTGAGTGGTGCTCGAGGCTGCTGAATAAACAATACCGTTCGCTGACCCACATCCTGGTTGCGGCAATAAGCGTAACCTTATTCTGGATGCGACAAAAGCGGCGCGCGTGTCGCGCATGGCAATGGCAAGGTCGACGCTCCCGGGACACGGCTGGCGACCAGCCCCCGCCCTTCTAAGACACAGGGACGCGTGGGCTGAAATGTATCGGCTCGTTTACAACAAGAAAGTCACTGACTGGCAGCGAATCTGACCTGCGATGTTAAATTGCAGATTGTGATACCGGCGACATGCATCAATGACAAGCGGAAAAGAATTGCTCGATTTTTAGACATTTTTCTACTGAATTTTTTATCACATATTGCCAATTTTGCCTCAAAAGATTTACTTTTACATTTAGACTGCCAGATTTCTCGCATCAGGTTTCGTTCTCTGATATTTATTTATAGCTCTGCCCGCGACTTCGTCCGCGCGGAATTCAAAATGAAAAAAAAATCTTAAATAAAATTAGCTTAAGTTACTCCTTATTACATCAGCTGTCTGTCAGTGAAAGTCCCGTCCAAATCGGTCCAGCCGTTTCAGAGATTAGCCAGAACAAACAGACAGACAGACAGATAAAAATTGTAAAAACTGTTATTTTGGTATGTGTAAAATGCATTTAGTAAAAAGCGGTTATTTTAATATTACAAACAGACACTCCAATTTTATTTATCTGTATAGATAATACATTTTAGAACGGCCGTTAAAAGATGTATAATCTATTCAATCCTTTTCATAATTCGTTACAGAATAAAACCTTACACTTTTCATTTATTGAAATAGATATTTAAAGAAAAATACATAATCATATTCAATCGAAAGATTCGCCCACTTTCCGATTGGTCCATTGCTAATGCTCAATAATGGTGTGAGTGGGGTGGACAGGAGGCCAACGGATTTAGGTTAAACGGGCAATATCAGCGGGTATCGGGAGATAGCGCAATTCGGCACAACAGTTCTGCACGTAACTAGGCTGCCGAAATAACGGCCTGTGGTTCTTTGCTCCTGGTACACATTTGGAGACGTGACAAATAAATTTCTTCATTTGTTTTCATGTAAGTGTTTGTGGCTGGCCTGATAAGGCTGGTTTCATATGATCTCCAGCTTGTGCAATGATGAAACGAAAATTTTCAGATCTTTTTCGTCTGAACGGTATGAGTGCCTTTCCTTGACCGTATAGGCGTTTTAGCAAATTTAAAAGCCAACTAAATCTATATTTCTCTTCTTCTGTGGTACTATCCGAGGACGTGATATTAAAACGTTTTATTTTCACATTTCATTTCTGTCATTCTCTTTCCATTGTTCCCACTCAAATACCATAAAATTAAAAGAGCCATTT